GTATTCATCTGGATCAATGGTGTTTTCGATGGCCATGTTGGTCAACAGGTCACATAGTGTGTCATCTTCCAAAACAGGGACATCTCCAGCAACGTCTTCGACAGAACCGCTCACTAATTGGCACTTGCGAAACCCATTCAAAATGGTGGCCACGGGCAAGTCACCCCACTCACCAGTTACCCATGAAACAATCATAGAGCGAGTGGGGCCACGTAACCCCAACTTTGACCCCGTCGCTTTGCTGTGGCGCACTTGTCTCTTCAGTTCGTCGAGCCAATGAGCAGTAGCATGACCTTCAAGGGACGTTTCCACGCAACGTCCGCTGGCTGACATATCCAGGTAAATCGCGGGGGCACACGCTCGTGCACGACATTCAAACTCTTCGCATAGGCCACGACCTCCTCGGTGAAGTGCGCGCTGAAGTCGTCCCAGATCAACATGACCTTCTTCGTTGCCCGATCTGCGCGTGACCCAAAGTGGAACTTCAAGAACGCAAGAGAGATTCCTGCATTCCACCACACTGTCGGGTTCCCGTAGATCTGGCACCGGTGCACACGCTGCAGATGTAGCACCTCTCTCTAGACTTTCTTACTAAACCCTTGACGCTTGTTCTGGTTCTCTTGCGCGACTTCTTTGACGGTTGACATCGCAGTTTTTAGGACCAAGACAAGCGGGTGCTTTGCGTCCGTGCTGCCCGCAAGAACCATGGCTGTTGCTCTGTCCTTGGTCTTCCCGCCACACTTCACCCACACCGTCTTCTCCTTTGCGGCGTTGAGGGTCTTCGTTGGGAGGTACTCGTAGGTCACTCCTGTTTAATCCGCGTTGTAGATGCGCTCGATGCCATGCTGAACCACGACATTGCGAATGCGTTCGGCAAACTGTTCAAGGGCACGAGCACCATCTTCATTTGTGTCCTGGCCAACGCATGTCTTTGTTCGGAACGTCATGTTGTTGCGCCGCTTGGATCCACGGATCCAGTGCCACCCGGCCATGAACTCGGTCTCAGTCAGCCCCACATCGATGGCTGTTTCCAATGCCATTAATCTGAGCATGGCGTAAGTCACAGGTATACCGTCCTTGCGCATACCATGCACCCTTCGCGTCAGCTGCTCCTCGGCCTCGCGTGGTAGTGTTGTTCCGATGCCTCTCAACCGGGCAGTCTTCTGGCGGCTCGTGTATGTGCGGTTGGCCATAGCCTCGATGTGCTCACGACGGGACACCCATCCATGGACCTTCCTTGTGCTCTCTCGCTCGGTGGCAGTGGAGTTAGCACACTAGGTGTCTAGAAAGGTACTCATGCCAATCTCAGACACTTTGATTATCGCTTCCAGTCGGTGTTTGTAGTCTACTGTCTTGTTCTTGTAGAACTTTGGCACGGTCTTGCGCCCGTACTTGAAAGCCGGGCGACCAGGAGACTTCCGACTCGCGATGACTGTATCAGCATTGTCGGCCATGGATTTCAGAGTGATCACAGGTGTGCTCGTACCGTAGCTCCCCGCGCCAAAAAAACCTCCGAACAATAATTTTACCTCTATACATTGATACTATATTAATTTAGATAATATATATTTGATATAAGAGGTATGCATGCGCAACTTGATATTCGTGTGACAGGCAAATCTATTCTTTCTTGGAGGAGTCCAGAATATAAAAGGTGTCTCGAATGATATACGCTACACGGTAGTATTAGTATATTCATTGAGAAATTGTGTTAAAAGGAGTGTTTGTGATTATCTTCGGCGCCGAAGCCCCTACAATACCATACCGAAGCACAAAACAATTGCGAGCCCACTGAGCTTGGGCGATGCCTACGTTCGTGGAGTTATACGGATACAGACTTCTTCACCGCAGAGAAATTCCATCGTAGGGCCTCTATGACTGATCTCTAGCTATCCCTGGTGCTCGTCTCAGGTCGTTAATCCCTGACAGTATCTCTTTTTGATGTTCATAACTTTTCTCCAAAGCAACATGGTAAGAATACTCCTGAACTAAGACTTAGCGTCATCCTGAAGCACGAGAAACCCTCCAATGAGTTATCTACATCAGTGTAGTATTTTGGCGTAACATCACTCCGACCAGGCAGGACTACCATTTACTTTCGCCGTTGTCCAGACGAGAAATTGACCGGCGTTAGTTTCGTGGAAGCAGCTGACTCATGAGATGTGCTCTCATAGAGGAGTATAAAAATTACTGTACCATAGTTAGTTGGCAGGATAGAGGGTTGACATAAACACAGATTGGCTTTGGTTCAACACATGAAAGGCTGCGCGACGCTTTCTCTCGAGGACGCATCATCTACTGGATGACGAGAGAGGTGTCCCGCAGGACCTTGATGTTCAAGACGAGGCTCTTCACGTCGCTCAATTGGTCGTCAAGGAGATGGATGTGACCATTGTTGTCTTGGCCGACTGTATACTTGAGGTCGGGGGATGTCGTCGTAATTAACTGTGACTTTGACTGCTCAGAGGCTTTTATCGTCATTCTTGACGACTTTCGCTTGGACAAATCACGCTCCTGCAGCCCAAAGCAACGGAGGTGGTGCATAAAATACCACTGCAACGTGCTCATGCGGCGGGCCGAACATGTCATCAGCGTGTCTCCGTTCACAGTTTGGACGTCGTCGACGAATTCGCACACGATCGAGGTCGAGTTGAAGATTGCTTGCCGCGATAAGCTGTTCTTTTTGAGCTTTTGCCAGTGTGGATAGAACATCAAGTGGTCCACAAAGAGGACAGCGACGACATTTACCAGTAGCCCGACGGCGATTGCAGGCGCCACGCGGATGTAAAAACTCTCGAAAAAGTCGACAAACTGGCCGTCCAGAGCTTCCATCTTGTTGGTGACGTCGACACGGGACTGGTTGTTGTACTCGATGTACTCAGGCACATAGAAGAGCAGTATCGTGGTGAGGTACAGCGTCGTGACCGAGCTAAAGTTGAAGAAGGGCATGGCGCGACTTTCACCGGAATAGACTGATGGCGACACGAGATGCAACAAGACCTTGAACGCCTTGACGATGCCCAAGTTGAGCCACAGCATTCGAGTGCTAAGTGCAAACAATTGGATGGTCATGGTGAATTGGTTGCTGTACTCGTTGAACACGTTGACTTCTCGAGTGAAGACCAGGGCGTGGTTCATGTCCAGGAGGATGCTGACGACGTAGAGCGCGACAAAGTAGTCGCTGTTGTAGCAAAACAC